TTTTTTTTTTTTTTTTTTTGCTTTCCCAAGCCCTACTCTTGAAGCTGTAACCCCATGGTAAGGGGGCAGCAGTGGATGGACAAGCACAAAAATGCTAAATATGTGGGTAAATATAATAGACTATTTTTGTCTCCTTAGGCTCTTTATGTGTAATGATTGAGAGCAAATATTATAACATTGTCTGTTGGGATTTTCAATATATAAAGATATAACACATATAAAAGCTGCACTGTATGGGGGAGGGCAAAGGGACCAATAGGGTGGTAGTTCCTTCATTCCGCTTGAAGTGGTAAAATGCTAATTCTAAGTAGACTGTGAAAAGTTATGTATTTTGTGATCACCTGAGCAATCACTAAAAACTCATACAAAGAAATAGAGTTTAAAAAACAAAAACAGAATTAAAGCAATCACTAAAAATCCAGCCAAAGGAAAACCAGTCCATTAGCTGTCAGCAGCCCATCACTTGTGGCCTGGTCTAAAAACATGCACCAGGCCCGTCGTACTTTTCTCTTCCAAACTTGATGTTGGAAATCAGAAATGGGGACTGCACAGCGAGGACTGGGCTCAAGAGGTCTTGAGGAAGAGTTAGGCAATCAGATGAGGCCATGAGCAGGCTGGCAGAGATGACAAAGAGAGAGCATGGGACAGGCTGGGCAAGAGGGAGGGGCCCCCGTGTCCCCAGTCTCCGGGGGTGAGGAAGCATCCCCTGCTTCCCCCCTGTAGCTCATCGGCTTCTATACAGCCCTGCTGAAGGGCAAGCTGCCCCTCCACATCTGAACCCGAGCCAGGCTGGGTGTGTTTCTATGTCTCCCGAGTCCTTCTCCTCAGTGTGTGGTTTTCGTTTTAGACAGAAAAGGCCCAAAGAATAGAGAGAGACACAATAGGCTACCAAGGACCTTTAGGATACCAAGTTCCCTTTGCTTTTTCATTCAGTTTTGGTGCTTTGCATGCACCGAACCTTAAAGAGACTGGCTCTCAAAGGCAGGGAAGGACGCTCTGGCAGATGCCGGCTGTGGCCCACTATTATTTGTGATCAGTTACACCAATTTTCTGCTTCAGTCAGCTACCTGGGAATTGCTCAATGGGTATATGTGGAACAGGACAGTCAGGGCCGACGTCCCCACCAGATCTTCAGGGCCAAGGTCTAGCTCATAACCACAGAGCCAATGTCCAGCCCACACCCACAGAGCTAAGGTCATCTCCAGGCCCATAGGCCAACGTCCCTACCAACAGAGCCAAAGTCCAGTCCAGACCTCAAGGGCCAAGCCCCATTCTAGACCCTACTGGGTCCTAGGAAATCCCCTTAGAACAGCTACCTTCCCGGGGCGCCTGGGTGGCTCAGTTGGTTAAGCGACTGCCTTCAGCTCAGGTCATGATCCTAGAATCCTGGGATCGAGTCCCACATTGGGCTTCCTGCTCAGCAGGGAGTCTGCTTCTCCCTCTGACCCTCTTCCCTCTCGTGCTCTCTATCTCTCATTCTCTCTCTCTTAAATAAATAAAATCTTAAAAAAAAAAAAAAAAAAGAACAGCTACCTTCCCTGTCCCATCCACTTCTCTGGAGTGCTGGGGAGTAAATACCTACTTTCACTGGGGGTTTTTCACATCCATAATATAATGTCTGAGCCTGAGCAGCAAGACCAAATGGACCCTGCTGGCCCACGACATGCAGCTAGCATCCATGGAGAACCCCTGTCGTGAGTCCTAGCTGGGCCACAAACACTGCCCAGAGGCCTGCAGACTGTCCCTGCTGTTCATGTGCTCCCATTTCCTGGTACGCTGGCCTCCTTGGCTGGCTCTCTTCCTCCACCCGCTCCTTCATTTCCAGGACTCATCTGGACAAGACTGACCACAGCTGGCCCTTGGCACTCTCTCTCGAGCACCTGCCCTCTGGAACCTGCTGTTTGCCCTGCCCAGGGGGCTTCACAGCAGCTGGGCCAGCTACCGGGACTTCCAGGCAGGGACTGTTGCAGCCACGCTGGAGCTACCTGTGAAGGCAAATCTGTCCTCTTCTATTTTCTTTTTGAGATGTTTGATTTCAAAGTCCCTTTCCTTCAGCAGCTTGTACAATCGCCCATTTTCATCCACCGTCTCCCTGAGCTGCTCTCGAAGGTGTGCAATCTCATCTTCAAGCATCCTGTAAGGGCAAAGGCAGAGTTACAGGGACCGATGATGGGCGGGAGTCAGGTCTCCCCCACCCAGGTGTGTTGTATCTGGTCGGACACTAGGTGGTGGTAAGGACTGGTCTGTACGAAATAGAAAAATGCCAATGAGCAGATTTTAACACACTGTTCTCAAAACTGAGTGCACACACACACTCACACACACACGAAAGGAGAGAAAAGGTTTGAATAACATTGTTTACTGTGGACTTAAAGGAGCGCTATATAACCGACCGCCCCTCTCCAAGAATTCATACTCCATCAAGCATCCATGGAACATGGATAAAAATGTATTATATTATAGGCCACAAAGGCAATCTTGGCAAATTCCACATGGTGGAAATCATTCAGGCCATTTTCTTTAATGGCAATTGACTAAAATTAGGAATCAATAGTAAAAAGGTGGCAAAAATTCAAATAAAAAACCCCAAAACCCATTGTCTAAATGGGTCTAAAAAAACAAAAACCACTCTCCTAAATTATATATGGGTTGAGAAGAAATTGTAATGTGTATTATGAAGCATTTAGAACAGAATGACTGCAGCGGCAATATACATCAAAGCTTGTGACATGCACCTAAAGTGATACTCAGAAGGACACTGATAGTCAGAACTGCATATATGTATATATACACACATATTAGAAGACCAAATAGGAATTGCCTAAGTCTTAAGGCTAGGCCTCTAGTTTTCAGGTAACCCTGACAGAAAATCAGAGCAGGTTGTTGGTTTTGTTTATTATAAGTTGTCTTGCCGGACTCTCTTCAGCACTTTAAAACATGAGAAGCATGTGACTGATGGGCCTGTGATCACTTCTACTGTGAGGCACGGAATGGGCTCCCTAGGGACAGGTGTGCGGGGGGGGGGGAAGCAAGAAAGTTACAGAAGTTAGAGGGAACAGTAATTATTATGTAACAGCTGATATTGTCATTATCATTGTTATTATTATCATTATTATTATTATTATTAAGTAGGCTCCATACCCATCATGGAGCCCAATGCAGGGCTTGAACTCACAACCCCGAAATCAAGACCTGAGCCGAAATCAAGAGTTGGACATTTAACCAACTGAGCTACCCAGGCACCCCTGATATTATCATTAGTGTTGTTATTCTACCAATGGCTCAAGTCTCCACCAATTCCAGTTTCTCTGATTTGGGGAAAGATCATTGGGAAATAGGTCTGGGGTTAACTTAGAGCTAATATTTAGGAGCCATAGGAACTTTTTCAATTATTGAGCAACCTGTATGTTTTTCCCAGTTAGCATTTTTTAGTAGAACATTTTGAAAATTGAGAAACCATAAAAAGTAGAACCTGAAAATGGAGAAGATAGATTCTGGGCCAAACCAGAAGCAAAGAGACAACTCAACAACAATTGTGGTTTATTTTTTTTCCTTTCTTTTCTTTTCTTTTTTTTTTATTAGCAGAGAATTTTGTATCAACATAGCCTTCTGCTTCTAATAGCAAGTATAAATCAACATGCATCTGTGATATTGTTGAATTTAGAACAAAATGAGAAGATTCTGGACTCCTTTCAACCTCTTCACCATGGAAGAACCAAGGAACCCATCAAGAGCTTCTTTACACAGGTGTGTTTATGGGTTGTTATGTGTCAGGAAAGGGAAACTGGCATAGGAGAATGATCCCAGATGAGAATTTGGAGCAATGATCATTTATGAACCATCAGAGTTAGCCAACCAGCTCCTCAAAAACCCAAACACAATTTTCATGAAAGAGAGACTGAATAAGAAAATTCAAATGAATAAACTACACCCTGATGAGCTTCAAATTTTCCACTTGACTTTCAATTATTTTTAAATACTGTTTATACCAATATATCCATAGGAGCACAGATCTATCAGACCCAAGTCTGACAACCTGTGTCAAAACTTCTGTGGCTCAACTTGTAAACACACATCTAGTCAACCTGATTGCTCACTGGTCTGTGATCAGTTCGTCCCCTCCCTCCTTACCTCCCTCCAGTGCTCCTGGGAGAGTTCAAACTTGCATTTACCTCTGCTCAAAGCTGTTTTTCAAGTTTTGATCCCCAGGTTGGAGAAGACTGAGGCCATCGGAAATCTCCAAGGGCTCTTTTTGGTCATCGACATTGATTTCGAGGCTCAGTTCCTTTTCCTTCTGTTTCTCCATCTGCTTCTGTAACCTTTTGTGCTGCATCTCCTGCATGGCCTTGAACTGGAGACGTAAGGTGTCCTGTGCACCTTCATCTGCTGCCATCTTGCCCTAGGAGTAGGAAAAGAAGCAAACCCCACCAAGTGCACATTTCCCGAGAGTACTCAGCACACTATCAGCTCTGTCTACAGCCTCCAAGTGGGGAGGACCCAGCTTAGCCTTGTGGTGTCCATATAGAAGCTCAGAAGACCCACCCTCACCTCAAATCCCCTAAAAGCCAAAGCTGAGCTGAGCATCCTCCCCAGCCCTGAATGTGCCACCAGACTGCAAAGGCATCAGAATACTCCCCAGAGCTGAGACTCAACACTGCCCTCCTTCCTGTCTCTAAAAACAGTGGCTCTCAACTCTGGCTGGATATTAGACTCCCCTAGGAGCCCCTAAAATATAACAAAGCTTGGGCACAACATCCTTGGACCAATTAAATCTCAATTTCTGGGAGTGGGGTCCAGACATCATTACTTTTTAAAAATTAAGTATAATTTAGACATGGTAAAGTACATAAATCCTGAGTGTACAGCTCAATGAATCTTAACATAAGTAGACATCCCTGTGGTGACCACCCGGATCAAGGTATAGGGTACTTCCTGTCCTCCAGCAGGGCTATCTTGTGCCCTCTCCAGGCAGGTGTCCCCCCTCCCCCAAGTAACCACTATTCTGACCTCTGCCATTAAAGATGAGTTTTGTTTTCTTTTTAATCAGCTCTATTGAAGTATAATTAATTGACACTAAAATATGCCATTTTATGTGTGAAAACTAGTCTTGACAAATACATATATTTGTGTAAACCACCACCACCATCGCTGTAGAACATTTCTTTCACACCAAAAAAGTTCCTCTGTGCCCCTCTGCAGTCAGTCTCCCTGCCAGTCCCAATCCCAGGCAAACTCCGGTCTGCTTTTGGTCACTTATGGTTTTGCCTTTTCTAGAATTTCATATAATTGGAATCATATGGGAGGTACTCTGTGGTTTGTTTTCGTTTTGTTTTGCTGTGTGTGTGTGTGTGTGTGTGTGTGCGTGCGCGCGCGCTTAGTACTACCTTCTAGAGATTCATCCGTGTTGTTGCATGCATCATTAGTTCATTCCTATTTATGGTTGGGTAGTACCCCATTGTGCAGATATATCACAGTTTGCTCACACACTCACCTGTTATTGGACACCTGAACTGTTTCCGTTGTCAGCATTTATGAATAAAGCTGTTATGAACATTCATATATAAGAAAGTCTTTGTGTGAACATATTTTTTTTTTATTTCCCTTGGGTAATACATAGAAGTGGAAATGCCAGGTTAGGTGGTAAATTTATGTTAGCTTTATAAGAAACTGCTAACTTGTTTGCTAGAGTGACTATAACATTTTCCATTCCCACCAGCAGTGTATGAGAGTTCCAGTTGCTCCACATCCTTGTCAGCACTTAGTATGGTCAGTCTCAATTTTAGTCTTTCTAGTGGGTATGTAGTAGTATCTCAGTGTGCTTTCAATTTGCATTTCCCTGATGTCAAATTATATTGAGCATCTTTTCATGGGCTTACTGGCCATTTGCATATCTTCTTTTGTGATGTGTCTATTTATATTTTTTTGCCCAGTTTTAAATTTTATTATGTGCTTACATTCTGGGTGGTTTTGTTTACTTTTGAACTCCAGATAAACAGAATAACAGAGCACGAACACTGGAATTTTTAAATGGTCCCCACACGATTTTAAAGTGTAGCAAGTGTTAAGCACCCCTGCCTTAAACCAAACCGAAGTCACATCATCCACCCACCATCCAACTAGCCATAAATCTTGTTGATTCTCTATAAATGTCTTCACATCTGCCCCCATATTTCCGGCACCACTGATACCGCTCTCACTATCATGCTCACGGCAACCTCAGGGCCTTTGCACTGTGGTTCTCTCTCCCTGGAATGTTCTCCCACCCCCTCCCCCAGCCAACGTCCACTTTACTCACTTCTCTCAAATGTCACCTTATCAGAGAGGCCTCTGCACTCTTCTCTTGTAGAAAGCTTTCTTACTCTCACTCCCCACACTCCTTATTCTGTGGTATCTTCCTCCACAGTACTTGGCTTCACCTGACGCACTGTATGTTTGTTGATTGCTTCTCTCCCTGTCTGCCAGCCCAACAATGGCAGGCACTGTGTGATGTTCATTGTTGGGCCCTCAGTGCCTAGAATGGGGCCTGGTGTGTAGCAGGCATGAAATGAGTATCTGGTGAACTAATGATGGATGGTTCTGTTCCCAGGACTGCTCAGCAGGTCCCTACTGCCCTGGCTGTCCTCTCCTTCTTCCCACCTTACTTATAGTCCAGCCTGCATTGGCCAAGGGACTACTTTCTTTAAAACACAACTCTGAGCCTGACATGCCCAGCACCAAAGAGCCTCACTAGATGCCCTTTAGCCACAAAACCAAGTCCAGGGGCATTAAAGGCTTTGGGGGATTAAGCCTCTGTTTCTCCTTCCAGTCTATTGTCCTCTCTAGTGTCCCCTTGCTCCTCTAGCTCTACATCTCCCCCTCCTCTGACTTAAACCTTGCTGGTTCCCCCAGGCCCGGCATAAGTAGCACATCCTTTCCTGACCCTCTAGGAAGAACATCCTCCCTGCATCTACATCTCTCCACTGTACTTATCTCCACCTTGTCCACAGGGGTGGTCCCAGAGCCCATACCGAGGGCTTCTTAAACCTGTCTCAGTATCGAATCTCTAGGGATACAATCTACAAGTACTGATGTCCAGGCCCCAGCCCTGGAGGATTCAGTCTAATAAGTATGGAGTGGAGACCAGGCATGGGGCTGTGTCAGCGTTGCCCAGGTGGCTGGGGTGTGCTGAGGCCTGAGCCTGCAGTCTGACCTGGAGCCTGTTGCAGTAAAAGAGGCACTGGTGTTACCTTGGAATTCCTTACCAGGTAGCTCGGCCCATAAGAGGAACTATGCAGTAAAGAATTAACTCATCACGTCTGGGTTGTCCACACCCTGCCTATTCCAAAGAAAGGTCTGACCCTTGACCGGCTCCTAGGAGGTAACCTCTAAGTCTTTGGTATATCCTGCCTGGCAACAATGCCTTTCTTTACCTGGGGGACTTGGGCCACTCCAGATGGTCTATGCTAACTAACAATGTGATTTTATGATAGGGGCCTTGGGTCACGCCATGTATCAGCTTGACCTCTCAAGGGGTGGGAGATTGAATGACTAAGGTCAGCCATTCAGGAAGTCAGCCATGCCTGTGTGACTGACCTGCAGTAAAAACCCTGGTCCCCAAGGCTTGGGTGAGCTTCCCTGGCTGCCAATGTTCATGCATCTTGCTGGGAGAAGCAAGCGCTGTTCCTGAGGCTCCACTGGGAGAGGACAACTGGAACCTTGTGCCTCGTGTCTCCTAGACTCTGCCCAATATGCCTTTCTCCTTTGTTGATTTTAATCTGTAGCCTTTTGTCATAACTGTATAACAGCTTTTCTGAGTTCTGCGATTGCTTCTATCAAATCGTGGAAACTGAGGCTAGTCTTGGGGACCCTCAAACTACAGGAACCTCTGGACACCTGTGCTGAATGTGTGGCAGCCGTAGATAAGTCTCCCCTCAGACTTTATTAAGCAAGCAAAAGGGTTTTTATTGGGGGTCAGTCACATAGGCATGGCTGACTGCTGGCGTGGTTGACCTTAGTCATTCAATTTCCCAACCCATCTTTTGCGACACCCAGGGATATAATGTAACTTAACAACTGGACTCAATGTTATAAACAGGCAAATCAGACTTTTTCTGTAAAGGGCCAGATAGTAAACATTTTAGGCTTTGTGGGCCATATAGTTTCTGTTGTAAATACTGTGCTCTGCTGTTGTAGCAGAAAGTAGCACTAGATAAGCCAGAAATGAGTGGGTGTGGCTGTGTTCCAATAAAACTTTATTGCAAAAACAGGCAGTGGGCTGGATTTGGACTTTGGGGCCTTAGCTTGCCAACCCAATTTAGGGGAATTTCCCCTGAAAAAGTGTCTAGAGATTGAAGAAAACCTTATTGAGCCTATTATTTGAAAATGTAACTAAAGAATTTAAAAATAAGTTTATCCTGTGATTTCCTATTTCTGTAGATTGTAAGAAGGGACAATCATATACTTCATTTTCCAAATTGGGTCACCTTGGAGAGTGAAAGGGAGCGCTATTAATAATCATTCTGGGTCAGCAGCAACTTGGAGGCCGTGCCTAGCATATAAAGCAGCAGTTCCCACCCCTGCTGCGTACTGGAACCACCTGGGGAGCTTTAAAGATACTGGTGCATGGGTCCCACACTCAGGGATTCTGATGTCACTGGTCAGGGCGCAGCCTGGGTGTTGGACATGCTGGTCTGGGCTACTGTACAAGTAGCCTGGCCCAAGCTGAGATAGCACCAAGGGTTCAGGGTGAACTTGGCTCTGTGTGAGTCTAGAGTGTTTCTAGACCTCTTTGGGTCTCAATCCCTCTTCAGTGAGCAGGGGATGATGACAGGGAGGCCATAGATATGCTGTGAGGGGCAAATGCAAAGCAAGGGGGGTATGTGTGTGTGTATCAAGATACTTTGTCAGCTATGCATTGGTAGGAACAAAATATTATTTTTTCTCCCTTCCTGGTGGTCTCTCCTGGGAATTTCCTTCCTCCTCCTCTTGCCCCACACCCAGATGCTTCCTGTCCCTCACAGTGATGCTTGTGACCCATCAGCAGAAAGCCTTCCTTGGCTGCTGGGCCTGCAGTGCCCCAGCCCCATGACATGGCAGACTTTAGCCTCCACAGCCACTCCTTCACATCACAAGGTCACTTCTTCTGCACCTTATCTCCTGCCTGCTCACCCCAGTATCCTCCTAGTGCCTCCCCATCTCTCTGGCTGCCTGCTTCCCATCTTAGCTCCCAGGTCTTGTCTTGGTACCTCTAATCTATACCACATATGACCATTTGGGACCTTTCTAAAACCAGATCTAAGTGGCTCCTACCTCTCCAAGACCCTGTCAGGACTCATGGAGGTCACTCTGGCTGGCCCAAAGGTGGCGTTCATCCCACATTTTTAGTTAACTTTCACAGAATGCTCTATGAGGATTTGAATT